CTTCTGCTTTAAGATCCAAGTCAGACCACTTTCTCAGGCTTCAGTTAGGCAGCTCCTCCTCCTACTGGTCTCTGCATCGCTGGCGCAGGAGGAAAGAAACCTGTATTGCCCGACAGAAGCTCGGAGAGGGGCCCAGCCCTGAGAACAGCTCATGAGCCACACAACAGAGCCCCAGCCTCTGGCCTCTCTCCAGCCCAGTTTCTCAACAGCAGGGTGAAATATGAACCCCTGGGAAATTGTTTAAAATGCAAATTTTGAGGCCCCACCAGAAAGATTCTGACTTGATATAGGTCTGGGGTGGGGCCAAGAATCACCCACCAGCCCTGGGTGACTGCTACACACAGGCGCACGCCCCACTATGGGAAAGTGGGGGCCACTATGTGCTGGATACTGTCAGAGGTCGGAGGGCACCTTGGAGAGCTCACCACCTGCAGTGAATGTCCAGGTCTCACTGAAGTGACCAACTTGCCTAGCTCCCAGCTGCTCTTGGTTCATGAGGCCAGTGCCCTGGCTACACAGGCGGCTTTGCCTCACCCTGTCATCTTCTCACTGGTGATCAGGAGGCTGCGGGAGTGTGGCTGATCCAGCCTTCCTCCTGGAAAGCTGAAAGCAGAGGCCGTACACCCTTCTGTTGGACCAGTATACACTCTATTAGGAAGAACAGACAATAGGTATGGTAGTCTCTGATAAAGAAAGGGCCTACATTCACTGGAGCTGGCCTCCGAGATGGGAGTCCCTGAGTCTGACCTCAGGAGTGGAGAGGCCTTTTCTTATCTGGCAGTTTTACAGTGAACATTGCTAGGGCCCTCAGGCTGCAGTGCCGTAGGCTTTACTTTGTGTCCTGAAGTAGGGCAGGAATGTTCCTGACACCCTGGTATTTTCCTCTAGAAACACTGCTACAAGCGAGGTTCTCTTCTGTGGAAATGCTGGTGCCACAGTCCACCCATGGATGGATTAAATAGGTTTCCCGTGGGCTGTCCTGGACACCTACCTATAAAGCATGACATAATTGCTCTGGGAAAGTGCATTCTGAGCTCCTCAGAGCCCTTTGCGAGCAAACTTGGGGACCATCATCTACCTGCCTGTGAGTCAGGGACTGCTTGTATGACTCAGCCCTTGAGTCTCTGAGGAGGCAGGGGGAAGCCCAGGCCCTGGTTCCAAAGCCTGGGCCCAAACGCGCCCATGGGGCCTTCAAGCAGCATCCTCACTGAAAGGCTCAGCCATCTTCATTCCACAGGCTGCTCGTCAGGTTGTGCCAAGCTCCTGGTGGGCTCTTGGGCAAGGGCCCATGAATGAGTAGACTGTGAGGACTGTTTGGGGCCAAGACCTTTCTTGCAGGGAAGTCCAATTGTCCTACTTACCAACCAGGAAGCCAAGAGCCTCATTGCAGAGCTCTGGCCTGGAAGGCAGAAAAGCCATTATCTTCAACAAGAATGTTACTTTTGTCTTCACTGAGGTGATTCAGTGAGCCCTAGGGCATTTTACTGAAGATGTTTGCAGATGAAAACCCCTCAGGGAGAGGTCACTCTGGGTTATGTTTTCAACCTTGCGGTAGTTTCAGTCCAGCTATATGCTGACAACCGATCCATGCTGAGTAGGGTGACTTAGCAGACCCGCTGTCCTCCATTTTGTTTGTGCTCAGGGCCCAAATAATTACAAAAATAATTATAAAAAGTACTTAGTGACCAAATGCAATGTCTCTTACTCAAATTTGATGCTTATATGTGGGAACACATACCAAAAAAAAATGGCAGGAGCATAAAGAATATAATTAAAAGTTGAGAATAAAGTTTAAGTTTCAGTAGAAAATTCTGTGAAAGCGCAAAATGTCATCATTGCTAGATGGGACGAGATGAAGGGATTTTGCATCCTTAGAGACAGAAGTTGATTTGCACAAAGTTGAATTAAGAGTTCTACCAAACTATTCCGGAGCCTCTCACCATAAAACATAAATATGCAGAATCTGGAATGAACAATTCGGAAACTGTGACCCCTTAATCTCAGCGTGTATCTTTAGGAGGAAGAGTGGAACACAGGGTCCTTGTGAAAGCCATATATGAAAGGGTAGAAGGAATAATACTTGACACCCACTGTGAAAATAAGAGGCTTTTTGTTGGGTTTAAGTCAGTAACCTCTGATACAGCAGAGCTGAAGGTATAGAGAGGAGCCCTGTGTCCCAAACAGGCAAAACCGGGCTCTAAATGTCAAGTGCAAGCAGCAACTCATGAGGCTGTCATCTATCCTCTCGCCCGCTGGTGCCTGACCCAAGGATATTCTTCTAATCCACGTACAGGTAAAGCGGGACAGTGACCAGGACTAAAACGTGATATGAAACCCCAAGGTATGAGGTGCATGTCTCACATAAACCCCCCTTTCCTGTCAAATAAGCACCAACTCTGCATTTGAAATAAGACTCCACCTCCCTCCCTGATCATTCCTGAGGCGGCTCAAAGGTGAGCTGTGATTTCCCAATAGTGTCCTGAGCCAAAACACATGAGGACACACAGCAGCAGATCCAGACTTGCTGGCCCCACCGAGATTGCACAAAGCTTGGCCCCAAATGTGGAATAATGTGAGCGTGTGTGAAGTGCTGAACATTCCACCGATGGCCTGTGTGTCAGATGCATGCCTGCATTCCCACAGGTCTGGCGTGAGGCCCGCTCACCAGGCCCCCAGCTAAATGCAGGTTCTGTGCTACCAAGAAGACACACACCAACGGCCTAGTTTTGGCTCTTGAGCCTTGTGAGAACAAGACTCCTGTATCCCAACCTTTCCATTCTGCCTGCATCCAGCCTTCTTCTCCCACCAGGAAAACACACACACACACACACACACACACACACACCAGAATAAGCTGAGGATACAACGAAATCCCATAACAGGAACTTTATTAAACTACATGTTACGTAAAATAACATATAAATGGACCTTTAAATACATTGTTCATCTTACACAATTTTATATAGAAACTTATTTACATTTCTCCATTATATACTTAAATTATTTTTTCCAAGCTTACTACCGATAAAAGGTAATAGAATGATCACCTGCGAATACAGATGGGAACACAGAAGTTGTCCAGAGGGCTAAATAAAATACCACTTCTGAGGAAACTCAGCTTATTAGGTTTCAAAGGAACGACTCATCCTGGAGGTGCTTTCTTCTGAGCAGGGAGGCCTCTTCTGTGGAGATGCTGAGGGGTGGTTCTGAGGCACTGATCCCAGGACAGAGATGTGTCCTCGGTGGTTTGTGATGACTCAGACTCTTGGAGCTAGAAGGACCCTTGGAGACCATTGTTGAGGTCATGCCTCTACTTCTGTAAACTGGGAAATAGAGGCTTAGGGACAGGGAGTGACTTGCTAGTTACATGGCATCAGCAGGGACTCCGACCCTGGTTCTTAGGGTCCTACCTAGGGGTCCCGACCCTGCCACTATCTACAAATGCACAAACTTTTGACCTCTTTCATCCATTTCTCACCCATCCATAGGTCCTATGTTTTGAACGTCGTTGTCTGCATGGTTAAATATGAGTTCTTAGGCTTTTTGAGACGGTGAAAAAAGGTTCAGAATTCCTATTAACCTGGTAATACCTACGCGGGGCTATTTTTACAAGAGGTTTTGTGGTCAGGTGCCTTACTTCTTCAACCATCAAGTTTACCCTTTTAAAATAGCTGACTTATGAAAGCTGAATTTCCAATTAATTTGGACGGAAGGAAACACTCTACAGGAGGGAGCGTGTAGTACATATTTGCCAACTCCATCTACTGCTGCTGGATCAGAAATGAGGTGTCACTAGTAAGTGACCAAAAGTGAAAAAAAATGGCAGTTTTTAAAAAACAAACAAAAAAGCTTCAAGAATTCCCCCATTTCCCAATTCATCTCAGAGGGAAGTAGTAAAGTGAGCACGAGGTAGAAACAATCCATGTTTCCCCCTTTCTTTTGAGTGAAGCCTTTTTTTTTTTCCTTCTTCTTCAAATTTTTCCTCATGCTATAAAGTCTCCTAAAAGGAATTTCATTGTTTTGGTCGGTGTTTAAAAACTTGATTTAGTTTTTGTCAGGATTTCTCAGGATTTCAAAACCACTGTACCAAAGAACAGACGTCAACACTCAGAGAAGTATCGCTGTTGATAGAGATAAGAGATATACTACAGGCTCCAGGTCACGTTAGAAAAGGAGGGGCTGGAAGCAGGCAAAGGGAGAAGAGAGGAAGAAAGACGGGGGAACAGAAGGGTTTATTCTTCCCTGTAACCAGAGCGAACACAAGTCATAGCAGCCTTCACTCAGTTTTACAACAGATACACAAATGGGGAAACACAGCGGGGAAAGGTGTGCTCAGTGGAACAGCCCCAGGTGCCTTGCCATCAGAACGTGGCACTTCTCAATTCTGGAAGATCCAGCATTCTTGCAGGGGCTGGCACCTGTTTGCAGGGAGGCTTACTCTATAGCCATGTGGGCCCCCCTCCCCAGGGGCTCGTCTCTCTGTCCATGGTGCCCGCCCTACACGCACAGGAGCACCGATTTCTGTCCATCGGTTTCACTTTCCCTCCTGTTTACACGCAAACCCTCACCCAAAGTCACACAAGGAGAGGTGAGCAAGGCAGCAAGTCTTCAAGGACACAGTGCCAGCCCTGGAACACCAAGGGCTTGAGGAGAAGTCCAGTGGCCAGCAATGGACGGTGTGCGGGCAGGTGGAGCCTTGAGGCCAGGGAACGCAGGAAAAAAAAAAATCTCCTCCACATGTTCAAACGAAGGGGTTTTTCTTCTGTCTTTTTTTCAGAGGCATCCACTCTGCAAAAGGAACCAACTAAAACAACATTTAATTTTTATATTAAAAAAATAAGGCTTTGATGTATAAAATCCAGCCAAAATTCCTTTTTTACTCATTACATAAGAATGTCATCTTCCATGCCCGGGTCTTTCACAGGGTCTTTGTTTTGGAGGCGAGGGTTTGCTCGCACACACCTCCGGGGTGTGTGTTTATGTGTGTGTGTGTGTGTGTGTGTGTGGAGGGGTGCCGGCCCATCACAGGGGCAAATGGGGACTTGATGGGAGTCAGCACAGCAGGAAGGCAGTCCGCAGGCCTCCCCGATTGTACCTTCAATGACATGAGCTTGATGTGGAACAAAGACTTTTGGTGTTGGCCTTTCACAGGTCAGTCCTCATCACAACCCCAGGAGGTGAAAGTGGACAGGCACCATCACTTCCGTAAGGGATTAAGGATTTTCCCCAGCGTGGTCCGACTGGACTCTTTCAGTCTGAGGGAGGCCCTTTCCCCAGTCCCTCTGCCCTTCAGAGAGGACTCTGTGTTGGCAATGGGACCCTCAGCAGACTCTGGACACTTTTTTGGGGCCCGGGCGCTGACAGCCCGCCTTAGGGTGCCCTCCTTGGGGACAGCATCCTCAGGGCCACTCTTCACCCTCAGTTGCCGATGGGAGACTGTCCGAATGAGGCCGGGAGGTTTGGCCACAGGAGAGGAATCTGTTTTCATGCACCGAGATGAAGAGGCCACTGTGTTTCGGGCAAAGCTCGGGACTTGGGGTGGGGCACGGGGGGCACTGGGGGTCGGCGGGGGCTTAGGCTCTTCTTCGGGGCTTTGGGGGCCCTGGGAGTTGGAGCGGCAGATCTTATTTTCCTCCGGTTTCTGTCTGGGGACGTTCCGGAGGGGCTTGGCGCTGGGCTTCTTGACGGAGCCCTTGTGCTGCAGTGGGGGCTCCTTCCCTGGCCGTGTGCTGCTGGAGCCGGCCCTTCCTCGCGGCCTCTGCTCCTCTGTCACCGCAGCTACCGCCCCTGCCCCCTTTGAGGACCTCTTGGGTGATGTGTCCGAGGTGCCCTTCACAGAGCCCTGGCGCGGGCGTGACCACGGTGCATCTGTGCTGCTGGGGGGTTCCCGAGGGGACTGCTTAGAGCCGGTGGAGCCCCTGCTGGCCCTGGAGATGGGCACCACTTTGCGCATGCTCTCACTCTCGGAGGACGTCAAGGTCCGCACCGGCTTGGGCACCGCCCCCTGGCTCCGTGGGACGGTCCCCGTGTTGGAGGCCACCTGGGATGCCTCTTTGAGGGAGTTTCTCTTTGGTGCTATCACATCCTTCTCTTTGGCGGGTCTATCCTCGGAAAGGCCACCCGTGCAGCCGGGCTCACTGTTCTCAGAGGCGGGAGCAGAGACCTCTGCAGCGGGGCTGGATACAGGGTTAGAGGACACTTGGCTGCCACCGGTCTCCCCTGCCCCAGAGGACACAGAGCCATCCCCGTCACCGCTCTCCCCAGGCTCCCCACCGCCAGGCCTGGAGTCACTTCCCTCTGAGCAGTCCAAGGTCAGCGAGCAGTCAGTGGTGTCTGAGACGTAGAGCAGAGGCTCAGGATCTTTGTTCTCAGGTTCGCTGCTGGGCTCATCAGGGGCAGCCCCGTCACCCTCCGGGGCTGGGCTGAGACTCCCCTGGGCACCTCTAACCACAGGCGCCAGGCTGCCATCGTCAGGGTCAGCGCCAGGGGGCTGCAGGCTCCCATCTCCTGGAAATGCCAGCTCTACTGGGATGAAGTCATTCAGGATCAGCCGGGGTGTCTCCTGTGGGCCCTTGGGACCCTGGAGGTCAAACTGGGCCAGCCCAGTGACCAGCTCGTGCTCCTCAATCCCCAGAGTCAATGGTGAGAGTGGAGGCGACCAGGTGGGCCCCAGGCTCACAGGCTCGCTGTTCCTCTTCTGGAGCATGCTGAGTCCACTGCGCCGAGCTCGGAGCAAAACCGGTGCAGGTTCCTCAGGCTGGGGGACTTGGAGCTGGCCGCGCCAAGCTGAGGATGTGTCGGGGGTTCCCTCCTGGCCCTCCGAGGCCTGAGGTCTGTGTGTGCGGTTGGAGTCCTGGTCACTTGTCTCTCCAGGCTCTATCCAGGCCACTGCGGCCCGAGCCTGCCTGGGGCTGCTCCGGGGCAAGCTGTTGAACTTGTGCTCCTCCGGGCTGCCGGTGGAGCTCTCCAGGAAAGTCAGCAGCTCTCGGTCAGTGGCAGCGCCCAAGGAGAGGCGAGAGCGGCGGGCGTTGGCGGGTCGGTAGGAGGGGCTGATAGGCCTGCGGCGCAGGAAAGGGGGCAGGTCCTCCGCACCCTTCTTGGTCAGCAACTCCACATCGTTCTCACTGCTGCTCCGGCCAAATCCCACAAGCTCCCCAGCTGCCCAGGAGCGACGCTTCTGCTCCATCTCCTTTAGCTTCTGCAGCCGCCTCAGCTCCTGCGCCTCCCGGTCATGATTGTCCTGATGGAGGGGGGAGAGAGAAGCCCAAAGATGCGTGAGACATGTGGTGCCCACGTGCCATTCCAGAGCCACCTACCCTAAGACCCCAATTAGAGAGACATACATGTGTGGAGGAGAGACCTGGGCCATGCGTGTCACTGAGAGAGACTCTGTGTGTGTGCGGGGAGGGCTCAGTGCTTCCAAAGCTATGTGGGGATGGCCAGAGAAGCACACTGGGCCTGGCCCCAAGAGTCTAAGGTTGTTATGGGATCCATGGGCCCAACTTGCAGCTTTCCAGTCAAGGCACTGTCTCTTCAGCTTAAGCTGTGATTGCACACATGCACAGCTGTGACCACAACGCTGAGGCAACCCAGCTTGGTTCTCAGCAGGGCAATACAGAAAGGACTTTCAGGAGAATGCTACTTAGGCAATGGCAGAGAGAAAAAGGCTATGGGTATTAGAGAGGGAACCTGAAATCGTACCTCTGTGTTGCATGGACACACACACACACACACACACACACACACACACACACACACACACACTCCTGTGCAGCACATTCTACTTAACAAAGATTTAGATGCATAAATGTACACCCAAGGTATTAAGAGGCCTTTCAAATCTCTGTTCTCTGACTGCTCCCTGGTTAAAAAAAGAAAGGAAAAAAAAAAAAGAAGGGACACCAGAATGCCAGGGTGGCTCTGTCCCTTATGCCAGGGTGGCTCTGTCCCTTATGCCCCATGACCTTCCCACAATCAGAGAAGAGGATTTGCCTTACAAATCCTTCTACCTTCCACCATCCTCCAAGTACCCAGCCCTCCCCCATCAAAACGGAACCAGAACAAATGCACACTCCAAACACACTTTACTGCCTGGCCGTGTACTTTCAATATATTCGTGTCATGTAAATATGTGGATTTCGCAACCCAAATATGTTATCGGTAGCCCTTTTTACTTGAAAATCCTCAAAAGGTAGACATTCCTGTCCAAGTTTCTGTGAGGCCCTGGCTCTGGCTGGCTGCCTGTGGTAGGGGTGGGGCCAGCTCCTGGCTTTGAGGGCAGCTGGGCCGAGGGCATCACACAGGCGGCCTCGCGGGCCCATAGAATCCTGACTAGGAGTGAGGGCCTTAGCAAGAGCCAATGTGGCATCGACCGCACACCGCCGCCCACCCCGGCTGAGCCTCCTGCCTGGACAAGGGAGGGTAAACGTGGACACAGGCTGAGCCTCCTCCTCTGAGCTAGACGGAGGAAGAAGGGGTCAAGGGCTCAAGGAACTCGGACTCCTTACTTAGGGCTGGACCAAACTCCATCAGTCCCTCAAAGAAATTCAACTACGGACAAATCTGCTTTTACAATACAGAGAAAGAGATGACGCACAAGTGTTAGGCTTCTCATCGCCACCCAAAATGAAGGGAGGGGATGTTTTGTTCTTAGTTGAGCTTATCTGCAAAACCAAGCGACCCAGAGAGTTTTTCTGGCTTCAGCAATGAACTCAGAGATTATTGGAAGTGCTGGTAGAAGGGCAAGGTGTGCTCAGACAGCAGCATGCTCCCTCGATATCTGAGCGTTTCAAAGCCTGCTCTGGCCGAGGACAACATGGTTCCCATGGTGCCAAGCCCCTGGCCATGGCTCCAGTGCTCCAAACAGCGAGAGAGGGCCTTCCAGTCAGCCCACTGTGACAAAACTCTCCCGGAAGAGGATACTCTCTCCAGGGAAGGGGGGTGAGAAAGACATTTGGGGCCTTCAAAGAGACTTTGCAATATTGTGACTGCCATCATAAATAACCTTACTAACAAGATGCTTTTAGGGCATTAGAGCGAGTGTTGGTTGAGGCAGCCAAATGCTCGAATCCGGATGGTAGGGAAGCACTCGGGGCTGGAATGGCAGAGCCACTTCCCACTGATCCCAATCAAGAGCCTGGCAAGGCTGCCTGGGCCCGACTTTCCTGAATCCCCAGAAACGCTGAACCCTCATTCTGCCATGGGCCGAGGGCTGGGTCAGGAAGAAGAGAAATGAAAATCCAAACAACTCCGAGAACACAGAGATGCCACCAACCGTACCTTAACTGCTTTGTTGAATCTGATACAAAAGTCTCTAAATATCTGAAGGCATTCGTCCAGTTTCATGGTTTCTTTGTCTTCACAGAAGAAATCTATAAGGGTGTGGGCCTCCTCTTGGAGCTCTTGTTTCCAGTGCTCCAGTTCTGTCAGCTTTTCCACAGAAAACTGTGGGGAAACAAACAAGCACATGCAGATGTGAGCACTCGGCTGACAAGGTGCTCCGCGTCCCGTCTGGCGCTCAGGAAGAAGACATGCTCCTGGGTTCAGTTGTAGGGGTCGGAAAAGGGAAGGTTTACTGCAAGTCCAGCGCGTTCAGAGCCAAAACGAAAATAATTTAACCCAAACAAAACCTTAATGAAGCAAGGTGAGCTCCTGTGTGAGGTCTAAAAGCAATGAACGAGATTGAAGAGCCTTAACCTGTAGAACGCCACTAGCAAAATGTTCACCTTTAATGGCACTGAAAAAATGGTACATGTGTACAGTTGGTTTTATTAAGGAAGACGCATTCTGCATTTGTCCTTCTTTCTCTTAAAACTGAGTCTTATACTAGCTAAGAGTTTACTTTAGGGGCCCAGAAGTCACTTGTTCTATTGACGAGTTGTCCTGTTAACATGAGAGTTTAACCTTAATCCCAAATGAGCTATGTCAGAATCAGTGTCACCCCCAAAGGACTGAAGCCCCCATGCCTAGACAAAGCTATCTAATCAGCTTGGGATGCTTTGTCGAAAGCCCATGCAATCTAGTAGCTGTGGGGTGGATCTAGCTTTCATGTCTTATTAACACATGTCCCGCCCCCCTGCAGGAAATTCTGATGGGTACCCATGGTTAGGAATTACAGCCCTATACAGATCCATCCTCTTTACTTCTTCATTTTCTCCTAGTTCTTCCAGGACAAAGTCTCTAATGCCCATATAGATCCAGGTATTGCCTCAACAAGTGGGTCTGAAAGACGCTTACTTTCTTCCAATGAGCTCCAGCCCTTTCGGGATGGGATCTACAAGGGCCAAGAGGCACAAACACACTTCCCTGACAGCCATTCAGTGACAGCTGATCTTGAGCTGCAGCGAGGAAGCAGCGTGGTCCAAGGAGCCACAGCCCTATGAGAACTGGGATCCCACTGAAGCCTCCCGTTGCTTTCTTTTTCATGTGGTAACAAGGCTTTTATGGAGAAGGAATGTATGGAGTGTCTTACTTTATACAATCAGGCGTGTCATGTTTTTAAGGAGGCATAAGTTTTGAGAAAATTCTTGAGTGGGGTGACAGGCCTAGGTCATGGTGAAGTTACAGGCTGCCCACCCTCCAGGAGTTGAATCGCTGCTGCAACATGCTTGGAGAGCTACAGAACCTAAATAGAAATTCCGAGGAGACACGTCACCGCCGACCTACGCCAACACACTCTCCTCCTTAAAAGCCCTTTTTGTACACCAAACGCATTCAACAGGTAGTAGGAAACCAAAACTATTTAGGAACCCAAATACCAGAGAAAGGAACCATCTAAGTCAGTAGCCCAAGGCAGTGTGTGCATTCATGTTGTATTTTTCTTTACAGAGAAAAGGGTATTAATGAAAGGGTAAACCTTTGCCTGCCATTCTTCTGCAGATGGAAAGATGGATTCCAGCCAAGAACAACTCAACTGCTGAAAAGATGGGACTCTTGACAAGAATCTACATAGGAGCTGACTCCACCTTGTATATCTCATCATTAGAGTCCGTGCAGACTGAGGGGATACCGGGAAGGAATAACTTAAATGCACTTCAGTCACCCTTAGGACCTGGGAAAGTGAAATATTCTGAATACCGATTTGACAATCCGCTGTGCTACTCTTTGAACCCTGCCCACATGATTAGGGCCACAAACAGAAAGATCCAGACCTACATTGGCAAAGCGTGAATGACAACAGATTAGCAGTTGTGGTCGCAAATTCAACTTTCCATCTCTAATGTGTCTGCTGCGGACCAAAGTTCTAAGCCAATGTACTCAGTGTTGCTCACCTAAAGGGTCAAAACACTGAAACAGATCTGTAAAACTGTGTTCCAGCCATTTTTCTGCTCAATAATCTTCAGTGGTTTCCCATAGCTTAGAGCACAAGGTTCAAAGTTTTCAGACTAGCATTCAGAGCCCTTCCTGGCCTGACCCTAACCTACCTTAAAAATTATATCTTCCCCATTTAAAGAAATTGAATTTTAAAAGGAAAAATAAATAGCTGGGTGGAACATTTTATTTAAAGATAAAAATGAGGGCCGGCCGAGTGGCGCGATGGTTAAGAGCTGGCTTGGGACGCCAGAGGACCCCGGTTCGGATCCCACATATGAGGGTCAGTGACACTGCCCTCCAAAAACAAACAAACAAACAAACACAAAACATAAAAATGACTACCAGATATTGTACGACAATTATAAGTAAATATATATATATATATATATATATATATATATATATAGTCATGGGAGGTAGAATATAGCATAAGGAAGATAGTCAGTGGTATCATAACAGTTATATAAGATGTCAGAGGGGTAGTAGCTTGGGGAGGGGAGTTATGTTGTGAGGGGTGTAAATGTCTAACTATTATATTGCTTTGTACAGCTGAAATTAATTAAAAAATAACTAAAAAAACCAAATATGACTACCATAAAGAAGTGTTTAGAATCGAAACACGGTTGCCTTTTAAGACCAGTCTAGGGGTGCAGCTGAGACAGAGCTGCTTTCCATCACAAACCTTTCTATACTGCTATTTAGCATACGACACTAATATTTAATATAAAGTCTGGGAAATGAAGCATCCAGAATTCTCATCTCAAAGTGCAATGGGCCTTCTTCTTGGCTTTCTGGATTTGCTTCGTTTGTCGGAATGTGCTCACGGCTGAGTGTTTTCCTACCTACCGTTAGGTGTCTCTGTGCTATTGTTTGCTTTGTTCTTTCATTTAGAGATAAATCTGTGCACTTGAAGGGGGAAAGCAGAGCTTGGCTATAGTAAAAAGGAAACACGCGACACGTGTTTAATAATAAAAATAAACTCGCAGCAGAGTCAAAGAAAATCAAATGTTTGCGGATGGAGGCTGAAGCTCATGATATGGGATGTAGTAATGACGAGTAGGCGAATCGAGGCTTTGGTTGGTACAGCCTTTGGAGCACAGCGCTCCTCGCCAGGGCTGAGGGCAGCCCTGCCACACATAGCCCACCTCACTAATCTCCAAGCACTGACACTGAAGGTAGCACACCATTTCCCTGGAGGCTGAGAGCATGAAAAGGGGGCCTTTTTTTAAAAAAATAAGGACGATAAAAGAAGTATGGCAGACTATGTGATTAGTGAGTCACAGTGAGCTGTCACAAACATGTCCACTCTGCTGTTTTCTGTTGATGTTATTCGGAGCAGCTCCTGACACACCCTGTGGGCTGATGTATTTCGGGTGGCGATAGGCACAGCTATCAGGTTCTCCTGCTCTCATTATACATTACGCCAAAATGCAGCTTGTTTCTTCAATAAAAACAAGTGGAGGAACAAAAGTCCAAGCTCTCAGGTGTCTTTATGATTTCTGTGTAACTTCGTTCTGTTGCCTACAAGTTGGATGGGGAGACAGGAACTCCCAAACCATGATTTAGAACCGCAATTTGAGTTGCCAGGCACAAGGTGCCAAAGGTAGTGAGCACCATGAACTTGATACCGATTCACTACAGGGCGATGCAATCATGCCCATCGAGGAGTGATAAACAGAGGTCTACTCTCTAACGAATACCTTGTAAGTTTAGACCATATTCAATATCCTGTGCTCAAAAACCAATCCAGCAAAGGATGGGCATTGAAATACAGAGTTCCTTGTACTGACTAGAGGGGGGAAATATGAACGGGAGCCTGCTGCTTCCCCAAACACACCCATGTGACGCTGCTGGAAAATGACATTAGAGGGACAGACTTGAATCACCCACAGACCTGAAGGAAATCTTCCATCTGCTGACAAAGTTCACCATCCCTCTGGATGTTTTCCTTTAGAGATCTTGTCCTGACAAAGAGCGAGTGCAGTTCTGCCTCCGTGTTATCCAGAGATAATCTAGAAGGAGAAAGGAGAGAGTGGGCAGTTGGCACAGGGAAGCCATGCATCGTGTGCGTACATCAAACAAGATAAACTGCTGGTCAACCCTAGAAGCAGAAGGGGAGACAGCCACTGCGATCACATTGACCTACCCCTGTACTTAAGAGTCTCTTCCTGTGTTTTGTTTAAGAGGAGATTCCTCCCTTAAAGACAGTGGTTCAAAGAGAACAGGCTGTGACGTTGTTGTTGCTGGCGAGATAACCAAGGCCATGGGACTTGTCTCAACACCTTTAGGCAGTAAGCATTAAAAATGAAAAGCCAGCAGGACTCAGAGACTTACACTTTCCTCTGGCCAATAAATACAAATACAAAAGCTCTAACTCGTGAAAACAAGGCCGCGTATGTTGATAATCCTGACATTAAGGGTAACATGGAGATACTAAGCAGACATCATGCCGCTGCCATAGACAGCCAGAGTAAGCATTCTGTATTTTAGAGACAACTAACAAGCAGCTAACAATTCTGCAAAAAAAAACCAAAAAAAAGATAGGATTGATTGCAAGGGCTCACGGTATATGTGTCAAATGAAGATCAGTAGAGCATGAATGTTTTTGTCACCCAGTAAAGTGAACAGATGAAACATAAAATCCAGGTGGAATTCAATTAGCAAATTCATAAATTAGTGTGCTTTCATTGTAAATTCTAACTTTTCTTTATGCAATAAAGTCTTCCACCTTCATTGGTCATTGGCACCCATGTATGATTTATTTGTATTTCACAAGTGTACTTCACCTTCCGTTTTAAATAAATAAACCTTAACTGAATCAGTTTTTCCTAAGACAATAGCTAGCTTCCCAATCCAACTCTGACCAGAAATGTCAGTTCAAATGCAATGGTTACTTCTCTATATATCTCTCTTAGTAACATTTCTATACTAGTCAGAGGAAAATATATTCCCATACAAATTTATTTTAGTAATTCAAAACCAAAACAGTTTGTATCTTATAAGAAAGTTGTTCGTTTCTTATAAGTTGAGCTGTTCTTTGCGGGGAATAATCTGGTGATCTGTAAAAATGAACTCTGTGCCGTTCACACCTTTGGACTGATGATCTCACTTTGGGAAAGACATGTAATCTGTGGTTAGATGTTCATAATCCATAACGTTGAGACACTGGCCAATAACAGGGCTTGGTTTGAAAAGCTATAGTTCATGTGTTTATGCATGTGGTTTGTGGCTGTCCTAACTGGAAACTGTCACTCTGATAATAAATATATGCAATTAAGTCTACTGCAAATAAACCCATGAGCTGGGCTGATCCAGGAACTGATGTGCTGGAGCCAGCTCATGAGAGGCGACCATGGGTACAGACATTTCTTCCCAACTCTGTGTTTTGCAGTGCCACGCTGGTGGCTTGAAATTAGCCATGGCAGCAGTATTTACACCACGGAAATCAGCAAATGCTACAGATCAGAACCTTCCCCCCACCGGTCCCCGCCCCCTGCAAAAAAAAAAAAAGCTAGTTATTTGAACATTTATCACTTGGATGCATGGCTGTGCATTGTAAATTCTAAAATACGGAACTCAAGATAGCACATATACACAGATTATAGCCACATTAAAATACCCATCTACATTAGCACCAAAAGCAAATTAAAAGTGTTGTAAACAGAGCTTTATGCTTGGTAGATACTTTCTCTGAAAAGCTGAGTGACTAATTTAAAATGAAATGCTTTCACAGCTCTTGGTATGGTTCCAACTTCTTCTAATGCAATAGAAAATAAATGTTCCATGTTAGATTCTACAAGGAAACAGTGATGTATGGCCCTGGAAGTCTGACTGATAATATAACCAACTCCCAAGGTAATAGGCTATGTCGTTTGGGCTCTATCTTTTGGGTGTGGAGAGATTTGAAGTTCTTAATCCGTATTTTCTTTACACTGATGATATTCATTAGAATAGACTGCAGTAGGATTTTTTAGATTAAAAATAAGGATTAATTTTTCAAAACCCCCAAATTCCAAAGGTTCACACACATACCTCTGTAAACAAATGAAAGGAAGGTCTGAAAGTCCAATAAGGCAAAACTGTATAAAGTTCAAACTTGAATCCAAAAATTATAAAATATTCATCAGTTTTCATAAAAGGTAGTTAAAAAAACAACAACTCCCCTCCCCCCCGAATCCTCACAATTCACTTGCTTACCTAGCAGCCTCCTGAACATAATGCAATTTTTCAGAAAAGTTTAGAAGAGTGTCATCTTTCTTTTGGGCTTCCTAGAACAAAAACAGAATTTTCTCTCACTACATAGATCAAACTGAAAGGAAATCATTTTCTCAGGGCTTAAAGGAATCTTAAAATCACTGTTTCTGTTTTTTATGCTTGATACATTCAAAGCAACTCACTGAGATATGAACTCTGATATTCTTAGTTAAGATTTACCAGAATGCCCCTACTCTCAAGACACATTTAACTTCCCAGAGCAACTGATCCTACATGAAATATAATTTATGTGCATGAACACTCAATGGAAGGAGGGGGTGGCTTAGCAGGGCCCACTGTTTCTCAGAGAATCCAACATGCCCTGCTTAAATACCAGCCATGCCTATGAGTGTGCCTTTAAATGACCGAGATACCTTCCGTTGTTAAACCTGTTTGCAAACTGAGTTTAATGAGAAGGTGCACAAGCCACAGAGATTTTGGATTCTTCACCTCTTCACAAGGTACAAGGAAGGCAGGTATGAAGGGAGCAATTACCAGCTCTGGAAACTTCCCCGTATGGGCAGGGACAAGTTACACAGAGCACCTGGATACACAGATCTAACAGGACTGCCAGGAAACCACCTGCAAGACAGGTAGGTGGAGGGACACATTTTCTGGTTTTAATGTCCTGAAAAGTAGTTTTTAAATTAGTCCGGAGCTCAACATGTCCTCTGTCTTCTAAAGAATATAGTACTAATAGAGTGTATTATTTATGGAGTGTTTACTAAACACTGAGCTAAGCTCTTTATGGAATTATCTCTATCAGCCCTCTTGGTTATCTGGTTTTGAGGTATCACTACCCCCATCAGTAAGTGAAGTGATTGAGGGTTTTAGGTTTACGTAAATTGTCTGAGGAAGTACAGCTAATTAAGGACAAGTCAAAATCGCATCCTTCTATCCCCTTCTAATGCTCACACTTGCAACAAGCACGTGACACAGCCTACTCCCCAGGCTAAAGCTGTGTCTGTGTGACTGCTGTCAAAACAACAAGGATATCCAACGAAGGAAAAACAAACCAGTACAATTCGTTACTGGAGATAATTTAACAACAAAGAGATAATTGTCCTTGGCTTATTTTTCATTTTGTAACTAGTTCCTTTGGCATCACATAGACCAAGTCAAAAATGTAAGTGATGGGCAGGGTTCAGACCCCCAAACCGTGTGCTCACAGCAAGGGCCTCTCACTCACAGTTCACAAAGGAAAAAGTGGAAATGATCTTTTTAATTCCTTTGACTCCCTCACTCTTTACACAGAACTGATCAAAAACCTCATCAATTCAACATCAGAAATGTTTCAACACCCAGACCTTCTACTCTCCAACCCGGTGGTCATTGCTCTGGTCCTTGACTATCATCAATTAGAGCCAACTGCCACCAAGAGGTACCCCTATTTCTATTTCTCTCTCCATTCCAATCCATCCTCCACATTACCTTATTTTCCTAAAACCAAAACCAAAACGTCTGGTCATGCCATTATGGCTTCTGTTGGCTCTCCATCACTAAAGCATGAAATCCAAACTCCTCAGCTTTAGGATCTGAGTCCTTTATAATCTGGCTTCACCAACTTCTCTGCCTCACTCCCCCTATCCTACCACTCCCCCCGAGTCCTATAACCCTAGGTGCAGCTCAACTCAGGGATTTGCAAATAGTGCTTCTGCACAGAGAAACTTCTTGGCACCTGCCATGCCCTTTCCTAACTCTGATGCCACCTTATACCTTGGAAAAACTTCACAGCCTCCAGGGGGTTTCATATACATGCGCTCTCTCTGTACAAATCACTTTCATACCTGTGCAACAAAGTGCAGAAGGTTCATCCCAGGTTTGTTTGCTTTTGTGTCTGCCAATTTGAGCAACGAAGACAGTTTAAATCCTACTGCATTACCAGCATATCTTCCCTGAAGACAAGTCGAAAGAAATATACAAATACCTTTAGACAGACCAATCAAGTTGGAAACACAACATGTTTTATTTTGTTTTTGAATTTTACTTACTGCATTCATGATATTTCCCGCCTGTAGCACCAAGTGTAAAATTGAATGTAGCTCCTCACATGACATCAGCTCTGTCAAAAAGAACACACCACGGTACCTTAGAGAAGCCTTCAGCTTAAATGCAGAAAAGACTGCTACCACATCCAAGTTTAAAGATGTCTGAAGCAAGCTCTGACCCTAAACTGTATATAAAGACTGAAAAAAACAAATAAAGCAAGCACATTCTATGGTTATATCTAATGTATCATTTGCTACTGTCAATCCACATCCTTGTGTTTAACTGGGAGTCAAATATGTATGACACTTAAATACACAAAGTGCTTCCATAATGAAGATTTTCAAGTAGTGGAAAATGCAAAAGCCTTATGAAAAGCAGTAAATTGTGTAATAGGAATAAGTTTTCTCTTAGCAGTTACTTCTTTTTTTCCTGTACATCCACTGGCCTTTGAGATGATATTTACGGAATATGAAAACTAATAGCAAGCAACATTTTGCTTAGTCAATGAGCAATGAGGAGATAAAAGATAAACAGGCCGGAATGACATGTAAATAAGTTGCAAAGCACCAACCCTTAAGGCCCAGGCACCCAGAGAATCTTTCCATTTTATTCAAAACTATACATTTCATTTGGATTGGCTTAAAGATTTCAAAAGGAACTTATTGTAATATATTGATAAACTAGGTCTTTAACCGCAGAATCTTTTGTACACACATCTATGCAAATAAACAATATTAAAAATTGTTAATGTATTTGGAAAGCTAAAAAAGTTTGATTATTAAAATGACAGTATATATAGATAATAAAATGTCACCTACAATATTTTTAAGTTAATATTCTCCATTAAGTCTAATATTACTTTCCAAAAATTACATCTGGATCGCTGCCTATATTGTGTTATCTATGGAAGCCAGTTTTTGAGGGGTAACCAGATAAGAAACGTCTCCACCATGCCCACAAATTTGCACGGCTCAATATGAAAACATTCTTCCATCTCTATTGCACAGGAGGAACAGCCCTTCAAAAGTTGCTGCAATAACCTTGATATGGCAAAAAAAATTTAAAGGTCTCTGTATAGAAAGAAGAAAAATTCTTAATTCTTAGTCTCCTCTCTAAAATGAAGAAAACATGACGGGGTGAAGAGAAAAATTTTATCTCCACATAGGCCAGAGGAACTAACCAGGAAAACCAAATAAGAGTAGACAGCTCTACACAATAACTAGGAATCCAGAAAATGACTGAGAGGAAATCAGGCTGGTGCTGATGAATGCTGGAAAATGCGAGGGTCAGGGAGGGCCAGAGGCTGCCTCAGGGAAGAGAAGGAGGCAACTGCAAAAGGGTTGGGCCATCATTCTCAGTGCCACAAAAGCCGGAAAGCAACGCTCCCACCCCTGTGAGATGAGACGCAGAGCAACTCTGTGGAGTCCATCCAAGCAAAAACTTAGCAAACTGTTCAAAGAAATGCAAATGGCCAACTCGCCATTAAATGTAACTAGCACACCAGAAAAAAGAGTCTGGAGGGGAGGGGGGTAGGCCCAGAGACACCAGGAATCCTGGCAGAAGGATGCCTCGGAGGAGTCAGGAGGAATGGGGTCTGCTTCTGAAAAAGAGGCAGACCCCCGACACCAAAAGAGGCCAGAGACAGAAGAAGAGATGCGGCTGGCCCAAGAGCCCACACTTGGAGCATACACCCCCCCCCCTACACACACACACACACACACACATATACCCTACACATACACACACCCACACACATACACACTCCCTACACACACACACACACACACACACACTACACACACACAGCCTACACACACACATACCCTACACACACACACACACACACACACACACACACACACCCTACACACACACATGCCCTACACACACACACACTATACACACTCTACACACACCCTGCACACACACACACACACACAC